TTCCTATATCCTCCTATCATACCTTCCCTGTCAATTTTTACCGTGCTTATTTTTAAATGTAGTGTGATGTGCTCCTTCGAGCGGCATTCATGAAAACCCTTCACACTCCACACTGTCGTTATCACCCCCTTGACCCTTGTGCTGGGAATGTTGACCAGAGTCTGTCATATTGTTACGTAGTCTTTTCCTGGGTCCTATCAAAGTTTCCCTCTTGTCCCATTTGATCATCAGAGGCTTACGACTAACGGACAATGAGTTGTGGGACGAGGAATTGGATAGACTGACAAGGATTTGCCTTAGTAACGGACATCCCAGGGCATTTGTAGAAAAAGATGTAGAGATTATAAAGGGCTGATTTCAACTTGGTTTTTATGAAAATCAGATCATGAATTCAGATGACAACCAAAAGTGGATTTGCCTGCCATCATTACAACTGAGCCAATAATTGCGACCGTTACTAAGGAAATGGAACATCAGGGTTTTAAAAAAGGTGAATAAAACACTTTTTACCAGTCTGCCGACGCAACACGAGAAGACCGACAAACTTGAATTCTCAGGAGTTTATCGCATCAAATGCGGCAACTTTGAGCAGAAGTATATCGGTGAAACAGGAAAAAAATCAGCCTACGAATCAAGGAACATCAGACTCTGCAGGAACATGGATACACAAATATCAGAAATGGCTGAACACATTGTACGGACGGGGCATTAGATCGACTGGAAATCGACCGATAGGTTGGCTGGATATGGTGAAAATATGAGAAAACGCAACATCTGAGAGGCCATTGATATAGTGATTGAGAGAAATCTAATGAACAGGAGAGATGAAGAAGGCAGGATTAGCGAAAATTTTGCATATTGCCTAAACAAAGTAGAAGACCAGGCAGCAGGAAGATCAGCAAAAAGAAGACGATTGGAATAAGTTAATATCCTTAATTTTAGGAAAAGAGATCGCATATGGATGAGAAAGGAAGAATCAGAAGCAAAGAGGAGACGTCTTCAGTGAGCCTTATCAAAACAAGTAGAACCACGACATTTGTGGGTTGGCACACACGAAACTAGGACGTAGGAAGCGATGGACATAGTATTACAGATAGAAACAGGAGAGACTAAAGCTAATTAGCTAACAATAGACTTGTTTGATCTTAAACGTGATCCTTGAATCACGACTATTGTTAGCCAGCTAAATCTAGCTTCCACCTTTCTATCTATAATACCAAGTCTATGACTTGCTATGCCCTAGTTTCTTGTGTGCCAACCCACAAACATTGTGGTTCTACATTGAACCCAAACAAAGCCAGCAGTACCACAACATTTGTGGGTTGGCACACAAGCAACTAGGGCATGGCAAGTCATATACTTGCTATTAGGAATGGAGACAGGATAGATGAGGCGGCGATTGGAGCTAGCTGGCTGACAGTAGGTTTTATAAGAGACGTGGTCCATGTAGCAAAGGTATGACCATGACACTTACTCTGAGGCTTTAGCCTCTAATTAATCACCCAGGTGCAAGGGTTGGACGAATGACGCCTCGAATAGCACAGATGGGGGGGGCAAGGGTCGAATGAAATAAATGTACTGGGGAGATAGCAGACGGACTCGACAGGGCAAGGAGACTTTGATAGGTCTAGGGAAGGACTACGTAACAATATGACAAACTCTGGTCAACATTCTCAGCACAAGGGTGAAGGTGGTGATAACGACAGTGTGTAGTGTGAAGGATTTTTATGAATGCCGCTCGAAGGGGCATACAACACTACATTAAAATAAGCACGGTAAAAATTGTGACAGGGAAGGTATGATATGAAATGTGAATAGGTCAGGGCAGAATGGGGGATATCATAACCGTTTAGCACAAGTTTTGGCAAAGGATGGGTTTCACTTGTCTCTTTGACCTGTTGTAATATGGTGCTACGAATTACGAGACTCACTGACGGCGCAGGCGAAACGCCTGGGGATTTACTACGTCCAAGGTCCCACTCTGACGCATACAATGGACTCTGGATAAGGTGCGTTCCTCTGAGTCTTCCTACCAATATGACCAAGTTGCGAAAACCAGGTCAAACAACTTCTATTTGTTTGATTGTTAACATAAGACCTGATCGCGCCGAAATCGAAGCGCCTACAAGCTTGCGTCTATCAAGGTAGAATTCGACAGTGCTTTTGGGAAAACCACTTCAAACTGAGACGGAGCCGAAGAAAAACTGCGTACCTAAATAAAACCAACAGCCACATGACGTATGCTGCCGTAGGTATTGACACAGGTCCTAACCCTCGCGCAACAATTTTCAGTGGTCGATTTCCCTGATCCCGGATGATTTTTACAGAAAAGAGAAGTCGGCATAAACATGCCCAGGCAGATGTGGGTAAAATCATGTCCTTGAGTTCATTAAGGGTTTTATCCATGGCCACTGCTTAGATGACTTAAAACTCCGGGCTGCAAGGACATTTATTTATCATTTGTTGAGGCTAGTCGTGCAGTTCATAGCCCGCATCGTATACCCTTTCATACTGCTCATCTTTGCATTCACCCGTCCTTGTGCAGGGATTGATAGATGCGTGAAGAATCCTATGCGTCTTGGATGAAAGACATGTAAAAGTCCATGTGATGAGCATCGCACTAAACAACATTATTAAAGCTCACAACTCAATGGCCACCAAAGGTGTAAGGATAGAGTAGATGGCCATGTGGTCACTGCAAAGCTATTGGTTTACACACGAATGGCGTTCAAAAATAGTAGGGTGCTGGAACTAATGCCACACGAACGAGCAGCCCGTCATTCCTACCATACCTATAAAAACTTGGGTTTCACTAAACCATTTAGAATAACAAGGAAACCAGATCAAAAGATATATCAGAATGGATAGGTGCATCTAGAAAGTCCAGTTAAGTCCACAATTTCAGCATGAAGTGCCCTACGTCTCCTGAACAATTAAGCCACAATGGTATCCCTGTTTCAAGAAGACCACGTCGAAAAACCATGCCGGAAATCGCGTTATATAAGAGCGTGAGGCTGATTGTATTTCATCCGGAAGACACGCTATTACGAAACCATAGACTGAATAAAGGTCCAATCTGGTTACAGTGAAGCAGTCATATATAGAACAATATTTGTATTAGTTGTGTGTCCGTAAATCACATATTAAAGTAGACTTTAGAAATTGAACCCCTCCTTTTCTGTTGGTGCGCTTTCCTGCTGACTTGAAAAGTTAAATTCTTGTGGGTTGGTGTCATCCTTGGATCCGGTGGCATTATCCTGAGCGAAATTATGAAAAATTATTCTTACATTATCGTTAAAGAATTTTTCTATGAATCGGTATGCGAGGTTGTACACTTGTTCGTTTGAATGGTCTTGAAGTTGCTCAAGTTTATCCAATCCTCCACATGTTTCAAGAGCCAGACAGCATTGCTCGAGTTGATCAAACTCTTCCGAGACCTACTAGGTAAGTGTTCTATGAAATGCCTACTGAAAAAAGCTTGCTCAGGGATTCCAGCACCATTATGACTATTTTTGAGTCATTTGCAGATAAGAGGTTGCTTAGGGCAGGAAGAACCCCCTGATTGAGTAAATAAGCACATTGCTCGGAGGAACCACCTGTAATCATGTTGCTGACAACCCAGCAAGCCTCCTTTTGGACTCTAAACTCACCCTAAAACGGAACATGAAAAATAAAAGATGTCCCTTGAGAAGGGGAAAGACGAGGGGTTACCTTATGCATCAATTCAAGGACCACAGGTAAGATATTGTGGTTAACTAGACTCTGAATTTGGGACACATTGCCTGCAGCTATGTTGCTTATCATCCAGCAAGACTCCTTAACGATAGACGACTTTTCATTATTAAGAAGAGCAGGGATGTAGTCGAGCAATCCAAAGTCGAGAACTTTCTGGGTTTGCTCATCGTTTCCAATCACCAAGTTTCCAATAGCTCGTAGTGCTGGTGGAATTAGAGTGGGCTAGAAATAAGAGTAAAATTGAGAAAAATATACCGCGTTCGAAGCAAGAAGCTTAAGTAAGGGTACTACACAACCGCATGCAAGTATTGTATCAATGAGGTCGTTCGCAGCATCACTTGCGTATGAAATCGCCCAAGCCGTGTCAGCGACAACATCGGGATTGCCCTCATATAGCAAAAGCTTGTGAAGGATCGGAAGTATCATGCAAATAGTTCCCTTAGGCGGCGGAGGATCGCGATTTCTGCACAGGTTAGAGAGCATCCATGCTATATTAGACACCACTGATGGCACCTCCCAAGTTCGATTTAGTAGGCGTATTACAGGGGGAACCACTTCACTACGGATGAGAAGATCACGATATGCGGACCCATCGCCGGCTATGTTTCCAAGGGCCCATACACTTTGTTCCGCAATACTGACGTCTTTCCTGTCCAGAAGAGCTATCAGCTTAGGAACGGCACCAGAGTCCACTACACCTTTAGTGTGTTTAGAGTCACCAGACGCTATGTTCGTTAAGGCCCACGCTGCCTCGAAGACTATACTTTCACTATGCAAAATTGAAGAGGCAATTAAGGCTTACGAACTGGATGTCAACGCATCTACTAGCAACTCGATTGCA